TAGCGGATTACTCTTTTTTCCCTCTTCTTTCTTTTAAAGAGTTTTAAAGAGAAATTCAAGTTGTCTAGCCAGTTTAAAATTAAACTTTCATTTCATTTAGAATTTCATTTGTTCTGTCTTCTTTAAGAAGTTTCTTACTCTGAATCCTTCAAGAATCTGACTCCAAGATAATTTATATCAGACATACAAGTGATTTGGCAGAAACAATGATGTGGAAAAATGGGATTTAGTTTGGTGAGTCAGGGAACGCCCGATGCTCGTGATCAGTGGATGAATGAGGGAAGGGCAGAAAGGAGATGACAAGACAGGCCATACTTGCAGGACCTTTCCTTCCAAGAAGGTTTTAGCACAGTTCACCAGCAGACACAGGACAGATTCCTTGGTGTCCCTCACTGTCCCTGGAAGTATGCTCATGGTGCAGACTCAGGTGGAAACAGCTGTCTGTGCCTTCCCCCTTCCACTGTCCTCACTGCTACCAAGAAAAATTCTGTCTACTACTTGGACAAAAACTAGTTATTTTTTAAATGTGTGCTGATGAAAACTAACCATAGGGTGACCATTTGATCCAGCATTCACACACCTAGATATTTACCCAAATGAGAAGAAAATGTGTATCTACATAAAAACTTGGGACAGGAATGTTTATTTATAGTAGCTTTTTTTTAATTGTCAAATTTGGAAACAACCAAAATGACCTTCAATGAGTACATAGATAAACAAGCTGGTATATCCATACATTACATAAACAGAAATGAGTTATCAAGCCACAAAAGGAAATGGAGGAGCCTGAGTGGGATTTTTTGTTTGTGTGTTCTTTAAAAAGCTAAAGTAGATAGAGAGAAATGCTTTTAACTGATGATATATGGAGGGGATTATTATCAATGTAATGAAACAAGTTATATGAATTGTTTAATGTGAAACTGATGATGTGCCCTGTAAACTTTCACTGGATCCACAATAAAAACCTTAAAGGAAAAAAAAAAGGAAATGGAGGAATTTTAAATGCATAATGCTAAGTGAAAGAAGTTATTTCTGAATAGCTACATGCTATATGATACCCACTATGGTACATTCTGGAAAAAAGAAAACACTACAGAGACAGCAAAAAGGTCAGGTCAAGGAAAAAGGGGGAGGTATGCCTAGGTGGAAGGCAGGACCATATTTAGGGCAGCGAAACTTCTGTATGATACTGTAATGGTTGAAATGTGACATGAAGCATTTGCTAAAACAAAAATGTTTAACACAGTGAATGAACCCTAATATAAAATGTGGACTTCCATTAATAATCATGTATCAATATTGGTTCACGTTTGTCAAATGTACCAGAAGAATGTAAGATGTTAATAAAGAAATGATGTCTAATGTACAGGAGATATGTGGGAAATTTGTATTTCCTGAACAGTGTTTCTGTACACCTAAAATTGCTCTTTAAAGTAGTTTTGTTTTTTTTAAAGTATCCTAATGTGCAACTCATATTGTTGCGAATCAGTAACATTTCTTACATAATTGTGGGGTCATAACTAAGATTAGAATGTTTTGTCCCCAGAACAAAGTTTCTCATTCTCATGGAATCCACATTTTCTGGAACTGTTGGGGCTGGATGAACCCCAAAACTATTGCTCTTGAGATAATTTTTAAACCTCAAATGAAAAATATCCCATGAAGTTTTCTTAAAATCAAGCAATAGCTGAATTAGTAAAGAGTGTCTGCCTTGGGCATTGGACTTTTTAAAGAGCTATCTGGACCAAACTGACAGCAGCTGGAAGGATTTAAGGAACCATGGGCTCATGTAAATGGGGGCAGAACAGTTCAGAAAAGGAGGGTAATCCGTACCATGAATTGAAGAACTTGTGTTATATTAGTGTATGTTTTATTGTGTATATTTTCAATAATGACAGAAAATTAGTTTTTAAAAAGGGAGACTGTAACAAAAGTGTGGCAATTTATAAATTAGGCAGTCAGAAAACTGATTCTATGAGCATTGCCACACACATCCAAGTTTTCGTATTTAAAAAATAGAGCAGTAGGTAACACTGAGCAATATCAAATTGAGAGGACTTTGTTTAAAAACCCAGTATTTAGCCTATGTTGTATGAATCGACAAAATAATACAGCAAGCTGAATTTTCAAAAAATATAAAAAGAATGTGTTGTCCCATATATTTTAGTCTAATTTAAAAAGTTAAAAAAAAACCTTTTTGTTTTCAGCACAAATTTCTTTTATCCAAGATATTGGAAGGCTTCCACTAAAGCGACACTTCGGAAGGTAAGCTGATTATCTAATTTCCAAAGAGCTGTTACTGAAATGAGGATCCCTGGTGACACTGTAGGATAAGCACTACACTGCTAAGCACAAGGTTGATAGTTTAAACCCACTAACCACTTGGCAGGAGAAAGATGAGGCTTTTTGATCCCATAAAGATTTACAGCCTCAAAAACCCTACATAGGGTGGCTATGAGTCTGAATCCACTCAATGACAGTGGGTGGGTGGAGTTACTGAAAATGTCCACTGATAATGTTTATTTAATGTAAATCAGTAACTATAACTGCACAGTTTTACCACTTACAATACAATATATCAGACCAAACAAAATGATGGACTGACTCACAAGGGAAAAGGAATCTTTAAGATGTCTATCTAGTCAACAAATCTTGGAAGTATAGAAACCCCTTTTCAGCTTTTCTGCCAAGTGGTTTTTAGCTTATGCTTGAAGACTTGCTCTGAACAGGAACATTAGTACTATCTTTTTTTATTTCATTATCATAGTAAAATTTAAAAATTAAGATCAAAGGAGGGAAGAAAACATATACATACAAATATATATACTATTCATTTTTATTGCAAAATGACTTCTAGGCTAATAATCTCAATGGTTAACACAAAACCTGTATTTCAGTTCTTGTGTGTGTTTGTATTCCTTCGAGTCTAGGTTTTCCCAGGAGTGGCTGGTGGGTTTGAAGTACTGACCTTGCAGTTGAAACCAACCTTGCGGTCCAGTGCATTATCCTTCAGTGTCACACCAGGACTCAGTCCTTCCTAGCTCATTTTTAAGGTAGAATTAAGCAGTCAGGCATTTTTTTCAGAGGTTTTAAAAGGGGTTTAAAGGATCAAATGCAAATGATAGAAATGATATATGTTAACTTTCCTTCCTGTTCTCTTGTTCCTGGCCCCAAATGCTAAGCTTTTGTTCCTGAACTTAACTACCGCTTCCTACAACCTTACTCACATAGATTCAATTTAAAGCCTTTTTAGTGTTCATGGTTGTTTTTGTATTTGGCTTATTTTATAGAGTTCATCTTTTCCTATTTCCGAAAGACACTGAGCAATAGACATGGATCTTGAAACATCATTCCACAGGGATTTGGTCAGGGCTCAGACCTTTTTTTATAAACTTTTCTTTGGCTTTTCTATCCTTCTCATGGAAGCTAGAGGCCTGAGGTGGCTCTGTAGGGTAAGCACTGGATTGTTAACCACAAGGTCAGCAGTTCAAACCCACCAGCTGCTCTTTGGAAGCCCTATATAGGGTCCCTATGAGTTGGAACCCACTGGACAGCATTTAACAACAACAACAAAGCAGGAGCATCTCCCTTAGCTGGCAGAACATGACAGACATCAAAATCAAGGGAGAAGGAAAGGTGTTTATTTGTTCTATGCCTGTTTTTTTTTTTTTTTTTCACGTACGTACATGGTGGTGGTGGTGGTGGTGTGCCGTGGAGTTGGTTCCCACTCATTGTGACCCTCTATAGGGTTTCCAAGGAGCGGCTGGTGAGCTTGAACTGCCGATGTGCAGTTCAAACTGACTTTTCAGTAGAGCCCATTAACCCAGAATGCCACACTAGGATTCCACATACATACATACATTTTTAAAATTTATTGATTAAGTAGCTTTTATATTTTTAAGTTGTAAGGATTTATTTGTAGTTTGTTTTTTACCATATGGTTTAATCTATATTGTTACAGGGGCTGGCTAGACAGTAGGCACAGTGAAGATAAATTCATAATCATCATACCCGTTATATAATTTGATGTAATCCCCTTTTGTGTATTACTAACATCTGCACTGTGAATCTGACAGATTGAAAATGGAAGCCCTGACCGACAGGGAGCATGGAATGATAGACCTCGACAGCGGAGATGAAGTCCAGCTTAATGGAGGGCAGCCTGCAGAGGAAGCTCTGGGTGAACTCCCTCAGACCTCGGAGCCTAAAGCCTGGTCTATTCCTCTGAGTCAGAGCAGTGGGAGTGAACTGCCTGCTAGCCAGCCTCAGGCCTTTTCTGCCCAAGAAGATACGGAAGAAGACATGATCATAGAAGACTATGAGAGTGATTAGATGTAGACAGCAGCCTGCCAGTTCAGTTTCTCACTTGACGTTTTATTCGGTGGACTGTAAGCAGACTTAATACACATGTCAGATGAATTACAAACACACTGTTAATTCTTTACACTTGTAGCATTTCATCACAAAGATCTGACTCTTCTGTCATCTTGAAGTAAATAGATGATCAAGCCTTCAAGCAATCTCTTAGTTTTTTTCTCTAGTATTTATTTAGTCTTGTGAGTGATGTATTATTGTGTATTAAGTATGTTTGAACTTTATATATCAAGTAATCAGAAAATGTGAAGGAATGAATCAGAATATGAAAACTATGTGACGTTGTAAATATGAATTATTATAAAACAGTTCAGGCTACAATTATGAGTGTAAATAAACTTTGTGCCTTATTTACAGTTACACTGTAGTTTCTAGCTTTTGAGATAACATTTTTTATGTTGTACAGTGGGATATTTCAGATACTTTTTGAAAAGATTTACATAATTTATATGGATATTAAAAAAAATGTTTAATTTCATTTTGTTTGTCCTATCTTTTACTGGTGATTGGAATGCAAAGTTTGGGAGCAAAGAAGAAGAACCAGTAGTTGGAAAATATGACCTTGGTGATAAAGGGATGCTGGAGAACGAATGATAGAATTCTGCAAAACCAATGATTTGTTCATTTCAAATACTTTCTTTAGACAACATAACAGATGACTATACACAGTGCCCCTGGACCTCACCAGCTAGAACACATAGATATCAAATTGACTACATCTGTGGAAAGAGGAGATGGAAAAGCTCCATATCATCAGTGAAAACAAGGCCATGGGCACTGTGGAAGAGACCATCAATTACTCATATGCAAATTCAAACTGAAGCTGAAGAAAATGAAAACAAGTCCACAAGAGCCCAAATATGACCTTGAGTATATCCCACCTGAATTTAGAGATCATCTGAAGAACAGATTTGATACATTAAACACTAAAGACTGAAGATCAGAAGAGTTGTGGGATGACATCAAGAACATCATACGTGAAGACAGCAAAAAGTCATTAAGAAGACAAAGAAGGAAAAGGTCAAAATGGATGTCAGTAACACTCAATGGGAATACACGCTCTGATTGGTGACCACGCTCAACATTGATAGGGGAAGTGAGGGAAGAACAGCAATGAAGTGGTGAGCTAAGCCCTACAATGTTCAATAGACTTCTTTGAACCC